TGATGAAGTATCATTCATTAACAGATTGTTTTTACCTTGTCATTTGATGGATACCAGTAGAGGCTGTAAGAAAAAATTTTTTCATTATTGCAGGTTCCTGGGTCAAGAACCCAGAAAGACAGGCAATAAAATTAGTCTTTAGTCTGTCCTAATATTTTGCCCTGAAAAATTCCACCAAAAATTGGTGGAAGACCACAAAAGTAACCTAGCTGACTCAGCAGGTTCTGTGTTAATTTTTCAATAGGTGACATATCTGAAACATTTTTCTGACTAACCTGTAAGAAAGGTTAAGAGGGTGGGTGTATCTTTAAGAAACTGTCACAGACGTGAACCATCTTGGGTTAGATTTGAAAACAAGGAGGGAGGGATGGAAAGTAGAGAGTCTGCCTTTCACCAAAGCTTACTGGAGGATAATCTTCAGACAACGTTTGAAGAGACAAAGTGGGAACACAGCCAGTTTTGAGGAAATTGTTTTCATTAATATTCAGATACAGTTGTAAACACCTTGGTTGGGAATCAGTGGATTAGGAGTTATTACTTGATTTAGCGTAACTCTCAATATGAAAAATAATTCACTTCTCAATATAACTAAAATGATCTTTGCCAAGGGACTAGATTTGCATGCACATAGAACAATTGTTTCTTAATCAAGTGTGAAAAATCTCAAGTTACTGTATTGTTCTTTGCACACTGGGTATTCAAAAATTTCAAGGGATTATATGTATCAGGTTAACAAGCTGATGACTGGAATTAGAAAGCAAGTAACATTGAGATAGGTCTTATATTCTTTTCAAACCAACAATACTGAAGACTATTAACTGATGTTCACAAAGATGACTTGAGGGGCAAAACATCTTGAAGGGCTTTCTGCATGAATTCATTTATAAAATAAGGGAATAACATTTGCCTTTATGGGGCTGATATAAAGATTGGTTGATGCATGCACACAAGCAGAACAGCATACTTTAAGCACAAATCAGATGTTCAATAACTGCTGACTGAATACAACCTTCAAATAACCAAACATGCTCAACTGACTATACCAGGTCAAAACATAGATTCTCACATTTAAGAAAAAGAAATGAATCTGTCATAGATCTAAATCATTCTTACCTAACCAAGGAAAATAGACTTAAATATAGACTTATAAATCCTACAATAAATGCAGTTTCCTGTGACAAGTAGGAATGCAGTGTGTTTTAAGGGTTCCACAGGGTATTTGAAAAGAGACTTCTTATAAATACCAGAGAGATTCTTTAATGGTTAAAAGATTCAGAAATATGATGCTAATAGAGCAGACAACAGATCTTATACTTCAAGGTGTGAGTAAAATTTATATCATCACAAAATTTTCCTATCTTAATCTCTATCTAATGAGTTCTTTTAAATCTTCTTCCCACATTGCATTGCATTACTAATAACACTTTACTTCCCAGTGTCTCTTCATTAGCTCTGCTAAGAATCTGCAGTCACTCCTCTTAGAACTGTGTCCATCAGATCTAATTTAAGGAATGCCTGTCTTGTAAAAGTAATTTAATTTTCTTCCTCCACAATGCTTTATTTCAAACTGCATTGATAACTGGGAGTTAATCACGCTACTCAAGCAGTATCAATATGCTAAGAACTGAAATCAAACTATGCCTGTAAAAAAACTTAATAGCTTTAAAATACCACATATACTTGAATGCAAGCCAATTTTTCTCCTAAAATTACTACATTGAGAAGAATATGGAGGCTTACTTTATTTTGAAGACTTCAACCATTACTTTAAGGAAGGTCTTTGGGAAGGAAATTAACTTGAAATGACTTCAACCAAAAGCAATTTTAGATATATACCCAGGTTTAAAAAGCATGTATCTCAAAGAATTTAGAAGTGAGGATGATATGCTTTGGAAAGCTTTGTCATAGGGCTCCAAACGGATCTGATGATGTCAAATGTGCATAAAAAGTGAAAGTAAAAGTGAAGTTGCTCAGTTGTTTCTGACTCTTTGTGACCCCGTGGACTGTAGCCTACCAGGCTCCTCTGTCCATGGGATTTTCCAGGCAAGAATACTGGAGTGGGTTGCCATCTCCTCCTCCAGCAGATCTTCCCAACCCAGAGATTGAATCCGGGTCTCCCACATTGTAGGCAGGCGCTTTATTGTCTCAGCCACCAGGGAAGTCCCAAATATGCATAAGACGACTCTGAATACATCTGCTTATGAGTTAATGCATTTTAATATCACACACAATTGACATTTAAACATACATATCTCTAAAAGTTTATATATTTAAGTTTACCAAAAAACTTTTTTGAGGAATTCTCTCATCAGAGAAATGAAAGTATAGCCTTACATTTGGCTGGATTCAGAATTCGAGTTTTAGAAGCACTTTTACCCTAGGTGTATTAACAGAAGGTACAGTGACAGAATTAAAATATATGAACATGAAGTTAATTTGATTACCTCATCAAAGAGGCCCCCCTGAACATCTCAGCTCACAGGTCATCCAGTCATGCTCTACTGCAATATTTTATTCTGTATGTGTCAATTCTCACAATGTGAAATAAATTACTTACATATTTATTGATACTTGGCTGTCTTGACTGGCGTGAGAATGGCATGAGGGCAGGGACCTGGGCTGGTCCTGTGAACTTTGGGGAGGAAGTTTGTCAGAGTCGGGAAAGGGAAGGAGGAGGTGAAGGCAGAAACAGCTGGAGTAGAAGGATGCCCAACAGCTTATTTAATCTACTTCGGTCAGCAATCTGTGGGCTCTTTTTCTTGTAACGAGCGTATGTACAAACCAAAGATTATCCATATGTTTCCATATTAGTCAAGAAACACAAAAGGTAAAAAAAAAAACCCATGAAACTAGAAGGACTAGAAGGAATTCAGTTTATTCATATAATTCTTCAAGTTCCAAGACAATAATATTTATAGACAAGCAGTTTTTTGTTAATAATGCTTGCTCAAATTTTAATTTGTTTTGTTTTTATTTTTAGAGCCAAAACACAAACTTAGGGGAAAAAATGTTCCATTTTTTCATGTTCTGTTTCAAAGTGCAGGTTTTAAAATGTAACTCAATATTTATAAGGGTTTTTTTATTACCCTTTTTGCAAGAAATTAAAACTCACGAAATAAAAATATCACAAAGCCAGTATTCAGCAAAATCTGCGAGTTGTTTAAAGAAAGCATCTTTAATCAGAATACTGAATTTTTGATTAACCTAACAGAAAAAAATTTTAGTAATAAATCTGCAACATCTTTCTCTAACCAAACATTAAACAAATAATTTTCCCAAATAATTATCTGGGCAAAACATTTATGTTATTTTTGTACTGCTTTAATTCTAGAGTATTTTTCTAATTCCTGTTTCAGTTGCAGTTCTTTGCTTGACTTTCCCCTTTTAAAATCTATTTGTTAAAGAAGAACCCTAAAATACTCTGAATTCCATCTTATTTGGTTAATGTGACTAATAAGACTTACCCTGGAAGATCTTAGTGTTTTTCTAAATTGAAAAATTAGCTACTCTACAATAAATTTGACTGAATCAAACTCTCTTTGGATACCTATGCTAGATAACATAAAAAGTCAGCTAACATAAAAAGGTTGAGGGAAAAAAAAAGTTGCAAAAATACTTTAGCTTTGCTAGTTATTTAGATTTAGCCAATGCGAATCTCTTTACCACATTTTAGGGCCCACTAGACTTGGGAAGGGGCTTCCCTGGTGGCTCAGATCATAAAGAATCTGCCCACAATGTGGGAGACCTGGGTTTGATCCCTGGGTGGGGAAGAGCCCCTGGAGAATTGAATGGCTACCCACTGCAAGTATTCTTGCCTGGTGAATTCCAGACAGTAGCCTGGTAGGATGCAACTGGGCGACTAACACTTTGACTTTTAGACTCGGGAAAGTATATCCAGTTGTGAGGGATCTTTCCGATTTGGATCTTACAGAAACAGGGAATGGTTGTTGGTGGGCAGAGCATTTGCTGAACACACTAAGCCCTGTTGTTTAACGATGATTATTACTCAGATACTTTTTACTTTGGTGGAATGTTGAAAAGGAAAAAAAAAAATCTGTGATCACACCATTAAAAAACTTGTATTTGTGTTGCATTATTTAACTACTGAAATATAACTCAACTAATGCTACAAGCTAAAGACACTATTCCCATTATTTGCTATAAAGTCACTAGAAGAGCCATTTCAATTGTAAAATACAAATAAAAAAGAATCTGGTAGAAAGGGCTCTTCTGGAAAAAGGTGTTAATGTGCTTTAAATTTCAATATCATGATCTAAAACTGCTTCAAACATAGAAAATTTTAAAGTCTCTACTCAAGGACAAACATTGAAAATATGCAAAACTAGTTCTCTGTTAAAATACACTTTGCCAGTTAAAATTAGAAAATATTGAAATTAAAGGTATTTGTCATATTAGACACAGACTGGTAAATTATATAAAGTTTCAAAAATTATAAAATTATTAGTCTAATGACCAATCTAAGTAAAAAAAAAAAATCCTTAAGCCGGATGGCACAACACTACCATAAATTTGTATCAAAAAATATCGGATACAAAAAACTTGTTTTCAAGAATTACTACTGTTGTTTACCCTTAATCATATTAAATGTTACATTTACTTTCCTTATTCCATTAGAATAATCCCAAAGAGACTCTTTATATAATTGTAACAACTCCAACAGCAACATTTCAAAAAATAAATTTTACAATGTTGTTATTGGTTCTGAAGGCTAGGTGTGTACTGAAAATAGCCTAGTACGGAGTTCACAAAAATAAATGCTTGGAAATTATTTTGGCATTTTAGATGTCAGAAGTTGACTTCCTATTGCATTATATGATATACTGTTGCATTTAAATGTTTTATCAAAGTTGTAACATTTATAATTTCTTACTAATTGACATATTTTTAAATGTTAAAAATAAAAAATACATAAGTAAAAAAATACTTGGATAAAACTTGTTAAACCCCCTTTATTTCTTTCAGTAGACAGATGACAATTCTCAGTGTCCTGGCTGAAAGGGTTCTTGATGGCAAGGATCTGGAAGAAAAAAAGCATGAGGATTTGAGATGAGTTAATGATGCAGACAGATGGTATGTTTAATAGGAGAGTGGAAAGAATCCAGTTAAGTTAGAGGCAAAGAAACCAGAGTTCGGACTGCACATCTGCCCTTCACTAGCCATGGGATCCTGACAAAATTACAATATTTAATCCTCTCCAAAGAGTAGCTTCCTCATCTGTAAAAGGGCAGTGACATCCCTGTATCTCTCTCATGTATCCTGTGAGAATTAAGTGGAATAAAGGACTTAACTCGTCTCACACACAGGGCTCTCTCAGCTCTCTCTTTGGATCCACTATGGTGCTACGGACAAGCAGCAAGAGCAACATCAGGGAAGTGGGTCACAGGGCTTCTCACATCTTCAGAAGGATGTGGTTTGTCTTCAATGTGATGCGATCTCTATGGATTATTTTCACTCACAAAAACTAAAAGATGTGCTTGCTGCTGCTAAGTCACTTCAGTCGTGTCCGACTCTTCGTGACCCCATGGACTGCAGCCCACCAGGCTCCTCTGTCCATGGGATTTTCCAAGGCAAGAGTACTGGAGTGGGGTGCCATTGCCTTCTCCAAAAGATGTGCTTACGGTCTTCTCACTGTTTTAGAGTTACTCTTTGATATGATAATAAGTGCTTCCCTGGTGGCACAGAGGTAAAGAATCTGCCTGCCAATGAGGGAAAAGCAAGAGACGCAGGTTCGATCTCTGGGTCAGGAAGATCCCTTGGAGTAGAGCATGGCAACCCACTCCAGCATTCTTGCCTCGAAATCCCATCGACAGAGGAGCCTGGTGGGCTATAGTCCATGGGGTCATGGAGAGTTGGACATGACTGAGTGCACACACAGGTACGTATTTATAATAAGTAGGCAATTGTTTCTTTTCCTTTTATTTTCACTACAATAATACAAGTGAAGTGAAAGTTGCTCAGTCGTGTCTGACTCTGCGACCCCATGAACTATATATATAGTCCATGGAGTTCTCTAGGCTAGAATACTGGAGTGGGTAGCCTTTCCCTTCTCCAGGAGATCTTCTCAACCCGGGGATCAAACCCAGGTCTCCTGCATTGCAGGCAGATTCTTTACCAGCTGAGCCACGAGGGAAGCCCAAGAATACTGGAGGTGGTAGCCTATCCCTTCTCCAGGAGATCTTCCTGACCCAGGAATCAAACTGGGGTCTCCTGCATTGCAGGTGGATTCTTTACCAGCTGAGCTATAATATAACCAAAGGAAACATGTAACCAAATATAATAATAATATAACCAAGTATAACCAAAAGGAAATCAACTCTGAACATTCATCGGAAGGACTGTTGCTGAAGCTCCAATACTTCGGCCACCTAATGGGAAGAGCCAACTCATTGGAAAAGACCCCAGTGCTGGGAAAGATTGAGGGCAGGAGAAGAAGGGGATGACAGAGGATGAGATGCTTAGACAGCATCACCTATGCAACGGACATGAATCTGAGCCAACTCCAGAGATAGTGGAGGATAGAGGAATCTGGAAGGCTACAGTCCATGGGGTCACAAAGAGTTGGACATGACTTTAGCAAATGAACAAGTCAAAGTGATAACAATTAAAAATTTTGAGAATCAAAGCTGGATTTGATTCCAGAGATAGCTTTTTTAGCATCACAAATAATTATTAAGAACACAATAAACTTCAAACTATGAAAACCTTTATGGAGCAATTACATTAAAGATTTCCTATTCTGAAACTTCAAATGTCTTCTTTAATTCATAGGTTTGCCACGTCTACTACACTGTTTATCATTAAAGCAGCAACAGCAATGCATCAAACTGAGCAAAAAGAAAAAAGCACAGTCATATGCCGCCCGCCCCCCCCCCACTTCTTTCTCTCCTCCTTTATAGTCTTTTTTCCAGGCTATGATCTGGGTGAAAACTTTCCAATCCTGTTTAAACTTACTTGGTGGAGTAGGATGGGAAGGAAAGGATACATAGATAATCACACCACCACATAACACTTTGTGTGAGAAATGCACACAAGAAGGACCATGGAAATACAAGAGGAGCTGTCACATGAGAGAACAGTACGAAGTTCAATGTGGTCTGAATACAGAGGTGGAAGTGATGGGAAACGAGGCTGTGTGTGCAGGGCTGTGAAGGGCCCTGCATTCCAAGCTAACGTATTTAAGTTTTGTCCTATAGGTTACAGGGCACTGGTGGCAACTCCAATATACAGGTGCTGCTGTGATGAGGTTTCCTAATTGGAAACAGAACTACCCTAACTTGCCCTATTCAGACAAATGAATGATAATCAATTCGATAAAATTTTCTCCTTTAGTTTGTAAGAGATCCCAGGATTAAGAAAGAATTTTAAAAACACAATTCAGCAATTTATTTATTTAAATTTTTAGCCACACACCATGGCATGTGGGACCTTAATTTCCTGACCAGGGATCAAACCCACATCCCCTGCATTGGAAGGCAGAGTCTTAACCATTAGACCACCAGAGAAGTCTTTCAACATGTTTACTGAACTCTCTATTTTAATGAATACAAACCCTTGATGGTTTTAATATATTTTCTTCCTTCTTTTTATATTGCAGTTAATACCAAGTAGAGGTAAAAAGTCAAATCAAAGCTTCAAAACTAGCTTTTGGCTTAATTTGCAAGTGGTATTTTTCACCTATATCTGAAGACACACACAACAACTTACAAAACTATGATTTTCCTTGAGAAACAACTTTTCAATTTAAAAGAAAATCTTTTATTTCCCCGTTTAAGACATTAAGAGATGATTAACTTTACATACAGTAATTTTACCTCTGATGGTAGAATACCTACGTGTTAATGGATAACTGTAGTTTTTGCAGAATTATTAATAATTGCTTTCAAATTTTGCTTTAACTGTGATAAATATGCCTTTCATTTTAATTAAAAACTATATTCTACAAGCAGAATTGTTTCAGAAAAAATTTTTTCAAGTTCCAGTGGCAATCTACCAAGTTGCTCTACCAACATACTTCAATTAACTTCCATTCACTCAGGCCATGATATTATATTAGAATACTATATTATCTGATTGAAGTTCCCTTTTCTACCTTCTTTTTACTCTATTTTTCCCTCCATTTATCAAAAAATATATGTTCACAATAGGAAACCTAGGAAATAAAGAACACTCTCCACAAACCCGAAATTTTTTCACTCACAGTGTGATAAGTTAAACTATTAGTGTATTTTATTTCAGTATTTCTAACGATTTATTTACATAAGTAAATTTATATGATACAGTTTTGAAAACTGTTACCAGAAACTTTTATAAACCCTTCACTGGTTGCATTGTATTTCATTAACTATAATTGACTTAACTATTATTCCTTGAATTTGGGTTTTATTGAAGGACAGATTAGTGACATTACTTATTTCTCCTCTCAGTCTTTGATAACTAGGTTTCTACTGACAATATAATTCAACTGCCTGATATTTAAGCAATTCTACAAGCCTTCACAGAAAAATGTTATCTCACCACTTGCTGTAAATTCCACTTACAAAAATGTACAAAGATAAAGTGAAAACTCTAGAAAGCAAGCATTAAGGCTTGTGAAACTCACCATAAGTCCAAGGAACTTCTAGAAGCGCACCAGAATCAGGAGCACAAGGGTATGCAGTGAATGGTTGATGGGGAGTATACTGTGAAAAAACTGGCTGCTGAAAATTGTAAACAGGCATTTGAGGTGGAAAATAGTCACTCACTGGCACAAAGTCATTTGCTTGTGGTTCCCCAGCAAAGTATTCAAAATATTGAGAGCACAAAAGATGAGAATGGGTATTCTGACTATTACTTGTAGCTGCAGTCAACATCCCAGAAGGAGATGGCTGTACTTCATAGGATGTTATTCCTTGGTATGTCTGGGTGATGGAACTGTCATTGCTGCTGCTGTAACGATAAACACACCAAGAATAGTAAGGATATGAAGTTTCAAATGAGTACCCGGAAACAAAGTCATACTCTAGGGTACACATAGACTGTGGAATTTCATTCAAGTATGTGGCAGCATTCTGAGTTAAGACTTTTGAATTCTGCTGTTCAGACAAAGAACATTCTACTGTTTGATTCACACTAAGGGTGATGTTCTCAGAGGCTTCTACAGGTATAGTATTGAAATTCAATGTGTCCTTCATGTATTTTTCTTTTGACTCAGTCTTTGCAGGTCGTGCTTTATTTATTTGCACAACAGGAATTTTGTTCTGGATATGCATGGGTTCTGGAGAACTGGTGCATGTAGAATTAATGGATGAATTTAATATTTCATTATCTTGAAGTTCAAAGTCAGTGTCATTCATTTCTAAATTGGCATGGCTATCACTCACAAAACGGAAAATAGGTTCTGATGCATTCAGCAAAAGAGAAGCATCAGTTCCTGGTTTTATGTCTGAGGGACAGGATTTCTCTGTAGTATCTGAAAGATTTTTAAGAAATTTCTGTGGAGGCATCTTCTGGTCTTTTGAAAATGTGCCATCTACACTTTTCTGGTCAAAAATTGCCAAAGAACAATTTTTCTTCTCACTTTTTGTTTCAGCAGCACTAAAATTTATATTTCTTTTCTTTGTGCTACTTATGTTCGCTTGTTGCCTGGTGAAATCTTCTGAAGTAGCAAATGAAGTATCAGTTAAATCTGTTTCGTCTTCTGAATCTTTCAGGTTCATTAAAGGTAGTGATCTTTGAGTTTCAACTTGTTTAGGAGAGACGTGGCTTCTTTTCAGACTGTCAGATGAATCTGGTTCTATTTCATTTTCACTTTCAGAATGAGATCTCATAGCCCTGTTAAGTGTAATACAGACATACAAACAACTTTAAATATACAGTCAAAAAATTTCAATATAAAGACATTTGACAATTTTACTTGGGAGAAGAATTCTTAAGATTTACATATTTCTCTTTGTATTGGCACTATACAAGAAACATTTCCCCAGGTTTTACCCCCTTGATTTGAATATAGCTACTTTTCGTGTTGAAAGTGATACATTCCACATTTCAAATATTTTTCCAATACATCTGAAAATATACAGTGCTGCCAATATTGTAAATTATTTTATGCTTTGGAAATTTCCTGATTTTAATTTTTTTGCAGTAGTTTCTAATTCATATACCTCCAGCCTACTGATACAGAGCTGGTGAAACCACCAGCTGTGACTCCCTGCTCAAAGATTATCTTCTGTTTTCACAAATGACTGAGTATTTTGTCTGTTTAAGGTCAAGAATAGGAGAAGCAGACCTCCAAAATTTCTTGCCAACTGAACATCCTTGGCATGCCTATCTAAATGAGACAGACTCAATGAAGTCTGAAGGAAGCATTCATTATGGAGCATCCAGAACAAGAGAGTTCAAATAGGTCCCCAGGGTAATTATAATTTTTGGTGTCTCAACCAATTCTTTGAATTACAAGTGGAAAAGAACACATTGAAAGATAAAGGTGACCATTCTTGCACAGTCAAGACAAATTCATCTTTGGTCTGGAATTTGTATACCGCACTCATGAAACTAAAAGTCCCTTATTTTACTTAGTCCAGCCTCCTTAAAAGGAACTCGAATGACAACCTGCATTGTCATCCAATATAATATTTTAAAGTTTCCACAAAGTGCAATTTTGATTTGATCACATTCCCAGTGATGTTTCAGTGATGTCTCAACCTTACAGATTGACAGTTGTCTGTATGACCTGTCCTTAGTGGTGTAGTGAAAGTCAGTCAGTCGTGTCCGACTCTTTGTGACCCTATGGATTATACAGTCCATGGGATTCTCCAGGCCAGAATACTGGAGTGGGTAGCCTTTCCCTTCTCCAGGGGATCTTCCCAACCCAGGGATCGAACCCAGGTCTTCCGCACTGCAGGTGGATTCTTTACCAGCTGAGCCACAGAGAAGTAAAGGGGATGCTGTGGCTGCACGGGCTGGGAAACGAGCCCGGGCCTCCCACGCGGCAGGCAAGGTTTCTATCACTGAACCACCCATGCGCCATGGCACACTCTCAGAGAATGTTCTTCTATAACAATGACACCCTGTATTAACTTTATGTTAGAATTCATTCCCCTGCCAAGTGAGGCAGAATTTGATTCTCTGAATAGCAAGTACCTACCTACACTTAGTAACAAAACTGAGATGGTTACAGAACTGGTTTCTGTTATCCTTCTGATAGCCTATTCATCTTTCTAAAATTAATTACTTGGCTGCACCAGGTCTTAGATGTGGCATGCGGGTTCTAGTTCCCTGACCAGGAATCAAACCCAGGCCCCCTGCATTAGGAGCACAGGGTCTTTAGCCACTGGACCACCAGGGAAGAGCCTCTGAGAGCCTATTCATCTTTATGCCACTCCATGATTATTCACAGAGTCATCTGTGCCAGGTAGAGGATTCTAGAAATGGAGTAAATAAAAGATTTGTATTTAGAGAAGCAAAACCAAACAAGACAGATGACATGCTTATCTTTTTTCATTCCTATTACTCATTTTCCTTCACAGGATGGAAAAAAATGGTAAAAATGCAGCTTGTCATAAATTGAAAATCTTACAGAGTTGAATGAAACAAGAAATGGTCAACAAGTCCAGTGGTGCTACTTCATGTCAAAATGAGAAAAATATAAATAATGCAGTTGGTTTTTACTAAAAATAACTAATTAAGAAAGAATTTAAAGATCTAGCATTTTGAAGTCATGTTCTTTTTGTACTGTGGTGTTAATACAATCCTTTCATGGAACAGTAGTATACTTATAATATGTGTATGTTTGACTTAAGTTCTCAGTAATATAACTTGGCAATTTGTATCTTTTAAACCAGTCTTGAAATCTGATAGGTCTTGTGAAATTCACAAGTTCAAAAAACTCAATTTGATCACTTGCCCCATTATGACGTTCTTTTTACTAAGCCAGTCACAAAGGCCCATTAATTTATTAAATAATGTCTGTCAAATATGACTTTTACTTTCTTATTCTGTAAAACATCACTCTTTTCTAAGCCCTAGCTGACTTGTTACTCTTAACTGTACTGAGACACTCCTTACCCTTTAAATCACTGTAAAAATATCTTTCACAGGACATCCCTTTTGATACATAATGAAATTCAAACTAAGGCACTGAAACACCCTCCCCTCTCCCTAGCACACTCTTGTCCCTGAGGTTACATGTAGAACCCCAAAGAGGTAATAAGTAAATGTTTAAGTCTTGCTCCATAATACATGCTCAATTGTATTCAGTTTTTCATCAAACAGGGCTGATGACAATTCCTACCTTGCATGCTTGAATGTTGACTTTTCGCTTTTGATTTCTGTGACATGTTTCATGCTAACCTATGTTTAAAAAATACAAAAACCTACATTGTTGATGGTTTAAAGTACAATATATTTATTATTTACCAGACATCTGCAATTGCTTGTTCTGTCATCATCTAAAATGCACCATCTGAAATTACCTTCATTAATGATCCTCTCCTTCAAAAATTAGTGACTCTGAATTCCCATATTTGAAAAATGTTTGGAAAAATTTTGTAAAAAAACAATTAGCAACATTCTCTTTACCCACATGTTACAACAAGTAAGAAGCCTGCTCTGTGTTTTATATCCTTTTCAGTAAGCCAGTCACCCAGTCCCACGGTACGTAATGTCTGTCAAGTGTGGATTTTTCTTTCTTATTCTGTAAAATAGTACTTTTTTCCTAAGACCCTGGCGGCTTACTACTTATAACTATATTTAGAATCTCTCCCCTTTAAATCATTGAAAAAACATGAAAAAAGCACTCTGTGAAGAATAAAAACAGTTAATGTTTGTACAATCATTAGAACATTGCCAACTATTTAATAAATGCTGTATAAAATTTGTTAAACAAAATGTACTTATGTACGACAACTGCTAACTCCTTCATAAATAAATATTTTCAAATATTGCTACTGTTTCTCTGTGTGGATGATAATGGTCAAGAACACAGACTTCACTGTCAATTTTTAATGTTTACAACATTAAGTACAGCCTTGTTGTACAGAAGCTATTCAATAAATACTTGGTCACTCGCTCAATACTTGCTCACTCATAATATACTCTCTCTTAAGCAATTATTAAAATTCACAACCTTCCAAGAAGTGGAAGGTTATTAATTACAAATAATTAATTTGTAAGTTTAAAGGTAGACATTTATTTAAGGTATCTCTCTTATACACGGCCATTCATATCATTTTACAGATAATATGAATGGTTTAATCCAACTGTTTAATTAGTAAATTCATTTTGCAAGGCAACATTTAAAGCATTCTCCACTTTTACAAATCTGTAGACTACGTACTTGTTTGCTTCAACAAGTTCGCTCTCTTAGACTTACAAAACTCACTTTAAAACATTCATTACCTTTTGTTTTTTACAACTGGGAACAGCAGTACTTTTCTCTTGTTCCTCAGAGTCTCCACATGTGTCTACAGTGATAGGTCGCTTTTTAGAGGAATTTGAAACATTTTTAATTATGTACTCTGAAACTAAAGGCACCTTCCTACAGGTACTGGACTTTTTGATTCTCTTCCTACGTTTTACATGAATATTCGCATTTTTCTTTCTCTTTGGTTGCAAAGTCTTCTTTCTGTTGTGCAGCATTTGGCATAGGATAAAGGAAATGGTTAACTGAGCATTTTTAACACATATTATCTTCATATGTTCAATCGTTTTCATGATTTTCATAATATGGACCATTTTCCCTAAATCCTTCCGAAGGGTGGCTGTTATACTTCCAAGCAGTGTGGAAAACTGACTGTAGTTGTATTCTAATTCTGTCACAGTGCTTCCATAATTTATGGATGCTATACATGGCACAAAGTTGATGTATGTGGAAACGGAATACTTCGATTCCTCAATAAGTTTTTTTATTTCTGAAAGTTCTTCAAGTTCTCTTGACAGCAAACGAAGAGCATAGGAGCCGTTAACAGCTTCATTGTATTTGTAGATAATATCCAGATCTTTCTTAAGCTCAGAAATAGCAGTCTCTATCACCTTCCCAAGACAGTCTGTTGGATTACCTTTTAGAAATGAGAAAGAAGTCATTTTTTCTTGGCAGTGAACCAGTTCAGGGAGAAGTGACAAATCAAACCAAAGCAGACTTCGAAACCGCTGCCTGTCTAGTTTCTTCGCCACTGAGTTTTTAAGAAACTGAATTGTTTCTGAGAGCATGACGATTTCAATATAGGTTTCAACGGCTGCAGGTTTTAAAATTACTGCCTTATGGCTGTAGTTTTTCATCATGTTCAAACTATTTTCTTCGGTGATAAAAATACTATCTATGCTGTCTTCTTGCAGGAACTGAAAACATTTTTTTAAAATTTCTAAGTCATCGGTACATCTCAAAGTGAGTTCCCGTAATTTTTTCACATCTGCAAATTCAGCTTGATCCAATATTTCACTAACACAACAGATATCTGGATGTGAAAGCAAAGTACCGTTAAGCCTAGAGTTTTCTACACTAATTATTGCTTTGTTTACTACAGCATTTGACTTTCTGGAAGCAATCACTGAATCCTCCTCAAGTCCAATAGTGGAAATTTGTTCACTGCTTAAATCTTTGGACAATGTATCATATATCTTCTGCAACTTAGAAACAGCACATTGATTCATTCTAAGTAGCATTTCTTTATTCTGTTCGGAGTATTTTTTGCAGAAAGACTGTCTCTTTTCTTTCCAAACAAGACTTTTTGAAGCATCAAAAAAGATATGTTCCAGACCATAAAGAGCTATTTTAATATTTACTGCCTCATTACTCTTGATAAAATTAACTTTTGAGGAGATCATTTCCATGATAATCCACAGATGGTCTTGTTTTCCTGGACAGGAATCATTTTGGGGACAGTCCCCATACATACTGATCAGGCTTAGTGTGCTTTTCCTCAAGGTTTCTAGGTCTCCTAAACTATCTCCAAAGTTAACTCCACAGGTGAGTGGCACAGAAAGAGAAAAGTCAAAGCAATCTGAACACTGCTTCATTACTGCTTCACACTCATCAATCTGTCGCTTATATTTTAAGTATGTGTAGTATGAATTATTTTTCCTTTTGCTTTCTTCAAACAGTTCAATTAATTGATCATGATAGTTTTGCAGCTCGGAGAAGGCATTATATTTTAATCTGCCTTGAAAAGCCGGATAGAAATTGGATTGTTGCTGAAATCCACGTGGTCTGCCAAGCAGCTCACTGTACAGTGTCTCATCATACCAGAGAAAGCTCCGGAATGTTTGTTCACCTCTTAGGAGCCTTTTTTTGTTTTCAATGAACTGAATAGTTTCCATCATCATCTGGAGTTCTACCAAGGAATCAACAGCACACGGTTTTAATCTGTGTCTGCAGTTACCCCACAGGTTTTCTTCTACTAATAGGTCTCTTAAAATCAAGATTTGTTTAAATGAACATTTTTGTTTTCTTTCAAAAGCTTCAACAAACAATGGGAGAATATTTAGACAAACTTCAGTTTCTTCCTGCAGAATCTGTACAGATGACGTTTCATTTGCTCTCCTCAAAATTTGAGTGAGCTTAACTATAGGAGCCAAATTATTACTTGAACAATGTTTTTCTTTGAATTCATTCATATATGACGTAGACTTCTTCTTCGGAGGAGGAGAGACTTTGGAGGGTTCAGACTGGGCACGCAGATGAGGCATATGATTCCTTCCTGTAATGCCTGGTTTGGAGTCACAGGCTATTTCTGAATGTAATGAGGAGTCACACTGAGAGTCATGACTACCTTTTCCCTCCTCCTTCTTTCTTTTGTTAAGCTGATTAGAAGCAATGTTTCTCAAAGAGATTGCCTCAGTAGCCTTTTTAATCTTTACATGAGGATCAATCAAGTTATTTTTCATCATTTTCTCACTTAAGCAGGAGGAGCCTTCTAATATCTTATTCTTTTGACCTTTGTCCTCAGTCTTAACACTTGATGCTTCAGTCATGTTCATGTGAACTGAATCCTTTCCTTTTTCTGCTTGTTTATCTTTCCACATTTCTCTGTCCTGAATGTCTTTCTCTGCAATACCTTCTTGGGAAGAAGAGCCCTTTATGTTGTCTTTTACGAGCAGAAAACTATCATCAGAAAATACTTTCATCGTGATGTCTTTACTTTCTTCAGTTTCTGATGGGACAGTCACCTCAGAATTCTCAACATCTGTTTCATTCCCATTGATATGAACGCATTTACTTGAAGAACAAGAGTCTGTCTTTTGAAGTTCATTTCCACCACATCCTTGCACACAGTGTGGTGCAATGGTAGACACTGCTGAAAACTCTACAGCAGTAATGCTCTGTTCAGCCATGGAAGACTTTGAAAATTCTCCCTCACTGTCTGTTGCTGCAATTGATAGCAATTGAGGAATACTGTTAGACTTTTTGCTTGTTATCAGAGTTCTACTTAATGGATCCATAAGGAAGTTTCCTGTAATAATGCCTGGTTTGGAGATCTCCTTAGGAGTTATCCATTTTTCTACAGGAAAATTTACCTCCAGGTTTATTTTATAACCAGATAAAGTAAGGTTGTTTGGTTTGTGGATATCAATGTTAAAAAAATGCCACACCTTTGATTCTAAGACAGAAATAACTATGTCAGTTTTCACTTTTTTGTGGGCTATACAAGTTGCATCATAATTTTGGTCCACACCAAAACTTATGTTGTTTTCCTTTATGCAACTTAAAGATATCAAATTTCTTTTACTCATTATTTCTTTAGCCTCAGAATTGTTTACTTTTGTTGTATACTTAATATTATCAAGTGCTGAATGGTTCTCAAGTTTTTCATATTTACTAATGTTAGATGAAAACTCTGTATCAGTTCGATTTTCTTTTTTAGTTAGTTTCTCATCTGGGCAGTCTGGGGAAAAGAGACATCCGGTTTTTCTAGAAAAGGGCTGAAATTCTTCTGATGATTTGGGATTTCTCAAACTGTTAGTAAAAGCTGATTGACTTGTACTTTCAGACACGGAGCACAGGGCTAACTGTGATTCCGGACACACTTGATCACAATATTCTCTCATGTGAACTGTGGAGTGACTTCTGGAGACACTGGACACATTTTCAGAAAGGCACTCTGTGAGTCTCTCTCTACTTGTTCTATAAAACTTGTGCTTTGATACATGAGTTAACGATTTATCAACTTCAAATCCCAAAGCTCTATTCTCTCCAGGTTTATTGTATTTTCTTTTTGACAGAAGATGTTTAGTGGAATAATACTTTCTTTCAGACACAGAACTATAACCTTGAAGGTCACAACTTTCCCAGAAACTATTGCATATTACTGCATATGCTCTTGGTAAAGGGCCCCTTCTTTTTTCTCCCACTTTAGTTATCAGCTGCAAAGACGTGTGAACTCTTCTGTGAGCTTTTTTTAAATGAAGAACGGCTCTGTCAAGTTTTCTGGAAAGACGTTTGCTTTTACATAAAGATGCTTCACTATTTAGAATATCCAGGACACTTCTAATGTGTTTTTCTGACTGTGTAAAGGTTTTAATTCGTTCTTGGGATAACGAAAAAAAACATTCCAATGAGTCTTGACTTGTTAGCTTCCTCCTCTTCTCACAAATTTTGTGATGTCTTAAATTTTTATCTGGTATGTTCTGGTCTCTGAAAGGTGTACCGGGCTTTCTTTTGCTAATTCTTGCTTCTGTCTCCTTTTTACTTCTAGTATCATTACCACTGGTTTTTGACTTTGTAAGGGAACATCTGTTTTTGTTATTTACTGTTGTGACATCAGAAGGTTCAGTTAGCAAAGATCTGTTCTGTTTTTCAGACATGTGATTCACATGCATATTATGACTCAAGTCAAAAGAAAGTGAAGTTTCAGATTTACTTGTTAGTCCAGAGTCTTGCCTTATATTACCAAATTCACCTTCAGAGGGACGATCTGAATTTTCACCAGAACACTGAGAATGAATTTCAAATTCTAGAACTTCTTCCTCCTCCTCATTTATTTCTGATTTTGTGGCTTCAGTTACATACTTGCAGAAATCATCTTTCGATGCAAGGGACTCAACAGTAGAACTGAATCCTTTCATAAATGTATTAGTAATCGTAACTTGCAGATCAGGAAGTAAAATTGGTTTGACGAGCTCTGCTTTGTATTTTTGTGTAGAGGAAAAAACACAACTGTGTTCCTCAGAGGAATGCTGGTCCCAATTCTCACCTCTTGTGGTGCTTTTCAAAACTTCCATCTCCCCATTACTGCTTCCCAACAGACCTTTCCAATCGATGCGAGACTTCAGAGCCTCATAGGAGTCCTCGAATTTTTCATAAAGTACATTTTCTGGGCTATGAGTATCCTGTGGAATACTCACAAGAAAAGCATCATCACTCTCTTCTGATCGTACTTCAGTCTCATTATCCAATTTGAAACTTTGAAGAACTGAGTTGTCACTTACTGATTGATGAAATGAGTTGTGGCATCGATTTTTATCTGTATCTATTTCACAAGCAGAAACCTTAAGTTTGCTTAACAAACCAAAATCTGGACTCTCAGAAGAACAAGTTTTTTTAAACTGGGATCTTTGGTGATCTTCAGGATTTGTGCTTACCACAGGCAACGCAGCATCAGCTATCTCAACTGCAGCACGTGAGGCTACATGTAACGAAGAATTTGCAACTTGGAGAAATGCTGTGGAAATCAAATGCTCTCCAGTCCTTTCAGTATTTTGAATATCTTTTTCTTTCATGATAGTAATGGGATCTTCACTTTCTAGTGATGCAGACTCAGTGCATACATGTTTTATCCCACTAGTTAAGTTAAAAGCAGGAGAAAATGCTTCAGAACTCAGAATTTCAATGCCATTGTCATCTTTATTCACCCGCCTTTCACCTATGTTGATAAAAATTTTTGTTTTGTGTGTCTGAAAACTCTGCTCCTCATCTCCATATATATCCCCTATGTTGTTTCCTATAGATGAAGCAATGTTCTCCATTTCAGCCTCCTTCTGGTTTTCTTTATCATTATCTCTTTGTTCTCTGAAATCAGTATTCAGGTGCACACCATTGTTCAACTGTGCAATACAGAACTGAGTATGATGTTGACCTTTATTGTTAATTAGAGGAGTTTCTTTGCAGTCTCTTTGAATGTCTTTTAGGGACACTGGCTCATATTCATTTCTCCTTTGAACACATGTATGTTCTCTAGTTATGTTGCAATTTGCATTATGAGCTGTTTTAATATCATGACATGAAGTAACAGCTGGTAGTTGTGTGGTCTGGGGAATGTCTCCTGCTTCCTTGAAAGCATCAGCCATAATGCTAATACAGTTTTGATCTGGTTTTTCCAATTTCGGCTCCAGTGGTTTTTGAGAAATGGCAAAATTTGTATGAATATTATCTTTATACTCTAAAGAGTTTTTAGGAGGCTTCGATGGAAGTTTCTCCACTCTTGGAGTAAGACTGTTTTGTATTTCCAGTGCTAGGTGACTTAGCTCATACTTATTCTCTGTGGTAAATGGCAAAGATTTTGGTTTTTCTAACCCTTGAGTAATTAATATTTGATCACAATTTTTCTGCAAAAAATCAAGACTCTCAACCTCTTTGTCATCTTGGTTCAAAGAAATGTAATTATCTATTGGACCGATTTTTCTTTTATTAGTAAAAGAATGATCACTTCCTTTCCACAAACTTTGCTTTTCTTCATATTTGGCATTGTCTTCTGGGTCGGTGAAGTTTCTCATCTTTCCAGTATTTTGAATGTACTCATGTACACTTTCTTCACTTTGGAGTGGAAAAAGTGTAGACATTTGGTGACCAGTCTCATATTCAGTTTTAAAATTAGAAAACTGTGATTCTGGAGAGATGGGACCACTGTACTTGTCTGTACAAGTATTCACTGATTCATAAGAGTCATGTGACTCACTGCTTTCATCAGTTAAAAATGGGATGGTGTCTCTCTGCTGGGATCTCTGAGCTTTTTCTTCCTTGTGTTTTTGGATTTCAACTTCTGGAGCTACACTTGACAAAAACATTGGGAAGGAAAAATCATCCTGGTTCTCACATTGTCCTGCCATGGTAATTTTATTGGAACCTGTACAATCATAGGTCTTAGAGCCCAGGTTGTGAGCCTGGGTTTGTGGATCATCCAAAGAAATTCTGAAGCAAGAGGCATCCAAATAATTAGTAACAACAGTCTGATCACCAGGCATGCCTTCAGATGTGGAGGCAGGATTAGCTGGCATAGATGACAAGTTTGTTTCTGAATTAACAAAATCTAAACTCTTCTCAAATGGCAAAATCTCACTTAAACCTGTAACAGTATTATGTTTTCCCATGCTTTCTTGTCTCTTCATCAGTCTTGGGTCTTTGATGAGTTTTGAAGTAATAACCGTGCTTGAGTCAGTATTGTTATGAAGGGGGAAAGCAGCAGCAAGACTACTTAAAATAGCTTTAACATATGTCAAATTTAGGAGGTCACCATTATTAACACTTTCTCTGGTATCACTGGGAATAAATGAAAGGCCTGAATCACATGCAGGTAACTGAGAAGTGTCTCTGCATTCTGCTGAATTGTACTCCATATGTCCACTGTATGTTTCAATTACAGAAATGTTTCCATTTTGCATATTTCCATAGGAATTAGAAATATCTGAGTTGGAAGGATTTATTTCTGAATTTGACGCATTGCATGAACACTTTTCCTGAACAAATGGATCTATAGGTTTCCTGAAATGCTCAAAGATGACAGTAGCATCTTTTCCTTTTCCAATTCTTTTGGCCACTGTACAGTTATTCAGAGAGCATGTTCTTTCTGTGGAAATAATAAGAAAGTAAGGAAAAGTAGGAAGGAAAAAGTATTTCTACAGGCAACTCTATTAATGCAAACAAACCATGTCATGAGGGGCACTGACTGAAAGTCTATCAAATAATCTAGTGATGATTAAAGTACGTTCTCAGCAGAAGAAGCAGGAAGAGGATGAATAACTGACCAATAAAGTACAGTGATGGAGCATGAAATTCTGTCTTATAGGCCCCTTACTAACATGTCTTTGCCATGAAAATTCGAATTCTGACAAACACCAAGAAACAGAAAAATTAAACAGGAATAAAAACATACTTTTATCACAGACTAGGTATTTCTTCTCTTAGTTTCCTATGCAGATATTCTATAATAGAGTCTACATATTATTAGGTCAAATTATCTCCCTGCATCTACTGTTACCTTGCTTCACTTCCCTCTACCACAGGAGAACAAAAACAGAAAGGAAAGGGGAATTAGGTGAAGAAATGGGGGTGGGTGGAAGAGCAGAAAGTTTGCACAAAATCCTTCCCAGAAGCCAAAGCAAACCACTACCCCTGCTCCACTATGAAATAAATATTCTGGCCAATAATATATGTAAATAAAACCCTGGAAAATAGAAGCAGATTTTCTTTCAAATTTATAGAGATTATTCCTAAAACTTCATAAAGAACTTCACAGAATAACAAAGGAACTTACAAAAATGCATAATGAGCAAGTGAAATGTTCACAAAGCATTCATCGCTAAGTGAAAGTGAAAGTCACTCAGACATGTCCCACTCTTTGTGACCCCATGGACTACAGTCCATGGAATTCTCCAGGCCAGAATACTGGAGTGGGTAGCCTTTCCCTTCTCCAGGGGATCTTCCCAACCCAGGGATCAAACCCAGGTCTCCTGCACTGCAGGCGGATTCTTTATCAGCTAGGTCACAAGGGAAGTCCAAGGATACTGGAATGGGTATCCTATCCCTTCTCCAGCGGATCTTCCTGACCCAGAAATCGAACCAGGGTCTCCAGCATTGCAGGTGGATTCTTTACCAACTGAGCTACTGGGTACATAGCTAAGCAGTACCATGAAAATACTATTATTAAAATAGACTAGTAATCAGAAATTGCTCATGAATAATATATGAAATCATAACCATATCACTGAGAATGTACCATTTAGTTTTCACAAAATGTTAAAAAAATAGCTCTGTTGAAGATTCCCAAATTATATAATCACTGTGATTATACTTTCAATTATAGTAAGCTATAGTGGAAATATGTTCAAAAATAGGGATGAGACTAACAGTATATTATTAAATATATTGGAATACATTAAAATATACAGTATCTTCAAAATATTAATTTAAAAAAGACAGTGCAACAGATAGTTGGGCAAAGTATATGATAAGAAAATCACAGGTTAAATAAAAATTGTCAACAAATACAAAAAGATGTCCAACCCCACTAAATGCACAAGAAGATTCATATTAAAAAACCTTTTAGATGGCAAAGATTCTGAAGGATAATTAATTTCCCTTTTCAAGATAAAAGCACTCAACTAACCAGGAATAGAAAGGAACTTTCTCTACATGGTAAAGGACATTAAAAAACCCCTCAGCTAACATGATACTTGCTGGCAAAAAGTAAACACTTTCCCCCTAAGTTCAGGAACAAGACAAAGATGGCCACTCTTACCACTTCTATTTAACATTCCACTGGAGGTTCTAGCCAAGGCAATTAGACAAGAAAAAGAAATAAAAGACATCTAGATTGGAAAGAAAGAAGTAAAACTATCTCTATTTGCATATGGATCCTATCTTGCATATAGAAAATCCCAAGGAAATCACTATTCAGAAAACAACTCTATTTACAAGAGGATCAAAAAGAGTGCAATACTTAGGAATACATTTAACAAAAGAAGTATAAAACTTATACTCTGAAAACCTCACTTTATATACACAAAATGGCTATAATCAAAGTCAGATAATAAGTGTTAACAAGAAAGTGGAGAAATTCTAACCCTCACACACTGTTAATGTAAATGTCATTGGTGCAGCCACTTTGGAAGATGGTCTGGCAGTTCCTTGAATGATTGACACAGACTTCCCCTATGATCATATGACTCTCAGCTATATACCTAAGAGCAAAGAAAACACATCTACACCTAACCTTGTACAAGAAAGTTCTTAGCATAAATGTTCGTAATTGCTAAAAGGTGGAAACAACCCACTGGCCATCCACTGATGAATGAACAAACACAACGCAACATATATAACAGAACGTTATTCCCCAGAAAGGAGTGAGGTGCTGACACATGCTGCAACATGCCTGAGCCCTGAGAACACTGTTAAGCAAAAGTCACCAGTCACGAAAGGCTACTGTTTATGACTTCACTCATATGAAATGGCCAGAATAGGCTTACTAGAGACAGAAAGCAGACTGGTGACTGTTTAGAGATAGTGTGGGGCTTGGGGAAAAAGACAAATAAAAGCTTTTAATGGGTAAATAGTCTCTTTTTGAGCTGATAATGATAACATATCCCTCTCACTATGCTGGCAGAAACTTTTTAAATTTAATTTTTATTTTACATTGGAGTATAGCTGATTTACAATACTGTGTTGGTTTTAGGTATAAAGAAAAGTGATTTAGTTATACATATAAATATATCCATTCTTCTTCAGATTCTTTTCCTGTATAGGTTATTGAGTAGAGTTTCCTAGGCTATACAGTAGGTCCTTGCTGATTATCTGTTTTATATACAGTATTGTATACATGTTAACCCCAAACTTCTGACTTATCCCTCCCACTTACCTTTCCCTTTGGTAACCATATGTCTGTTTTCAAATCTGTGAGTCTGGCAGAAATGTATTTTTTAAAAGTCTATCATGCTGGCAATGATAGAGAGTAATTAAAGTAACCTGATGCAACCACTTTTGAAAATTATGACACTGTTTCTAAATTAAGTGGCACATTCCTGATGTAGATATATACTCTGTAGAACAGTTTGCACATAAGCACTGAGACACTTATATGAATGTTTAAAACAGCAATGTTTGGAATATGAAGAAAACCTCAAAATGTCCAAATATACTCAGAAGTATAATGTAGAGTCATAAAATTGAATATTATGTGTGTGTGTGTATATATATGAGTGAAAATGAAGAAACTATGGTTATATATATCAACATGGAAGGATCACACAAACTTAACGCTGAGAAAAGTAACAAAAGCAGTTACAGTGTTAATTCTAGATATATAAAATCAAAAACAGGGAAAGCACATTTTGCTTAGAGATTCATGATGTATTAGAAAATAATATTCAGCAGTAAGACCACCACAGATGCTACTGAAGTAGAATATATATGTATTATGTATATATGTATGTATATATATGTATCTTACCAGTTCTCCTAGGAAATCCTGTTGCGAGGGGTCTCAAAGGTGTCATGAAGTGTCCATTATCTACTTTTTGACCAATAAATTTTACTGTTACTATTGCATATGGAAGACACTGCCTAGGTTTATCTACTGGCTTTGAAAGAATATTATATTCATACAAGTATACCTAAAAGATAAAAAACATTTTTATGATGATTAATTTTTACAGACTTGAAAAAGTTTCTATTTTAAAAAATCTATTAAACGCCATGTTGCTATTTATTAACCATCTTTTATACATCTCCCTCTCCCTGTCTTCAACTCTAGTTTTCTTGAAGATGAATTTTTTTCTCCACATCATCTTTTTTCCTTGATAGGCTTCAAATATCAGCAGAAAGACATAATCTATATTTAAATATAAAAGCATTTCTCCATTAAGACTTCAATGTTTTGCATATGCTAGGAATCACTATATTGTATTTTATCTGGGAGGAAAAGTCAACTAGAAAAATAACAATAGCTTAATACACCTTACATGTGGGAGTATATATATATATATATTTATATGTATATATATATATATATACACTTCTAAAATATCCTCATTTAATCATATATATATAATTATACATAATGGTATTTATAATTTAATCTTCTATAAAAGGTTAAAAGTCTATAAAAGGTTAAAAGGTTAGATAAGTGTCTCTTTTAGATATGACAGAAAATTACTGCTTAATAATTAGTCGACTATCTAATGACTAAAACATAAGCCTTTTCTCCTTTTACAAAGTACAAAGAATCAGTAGGGTTATTTCAAAGTATCTTTGTTTTGCAAGTTAGGCATTAATCTATGAAAAATTTAAATAAAAGGAGCTACTTGGAACAAAATTAAATGCAAATCTAGAAGCTTCTTTATTAATGTTTTCAGATCACAAATATTAAAGCAGCTTTTACTATTCCCTTATTTAGGTCATATTATATGGAAAAGGGTGCCAACAGATGTGGCAAAGTTGCCAGAAACCTTTAATTGATAAAAAAGCAGTATCTGTGAAGATAGTCTTTGTGTCACCTTGCCATCTTATTGGCTTATTTGGTATTCAGGTCATATTACATGACCTAAACAAATATGAATGAAGTAAGAGATTTCCACTTAATATTTTGGACAGTTGTTTTAAGACTTGTATCATACAATGTGAGGCAAGTGACTTTCAAGTAGTCAAGTGAATCAAAAAGTAAACATACTGCTGAACTGTAGGCTTGGAGTTCAATGGTATCCTTCAGAGAAGGTGTATTTCTTGACATATGGCAGTCAAAGTTAGGAGAAGGATCCAAAGAAACTTTGCTTTTATCTAGTGAAGGCTGAATTTTCTTCACTTTTCCAAAAAGAACCTGGGGAGGAAAAGGTAAAAAGAAAGTCAATAAAGATATACCAGAACATCTTAAACTCTCATACCAGGAAAATAAAACTAGCTTCTATTTTAAGGAAAGAAATTAGAATGGGGAGATAATTCATGTCCCAGATGAATGGGATGACTTATTAGAATTATGTCAATTCCTCCCTAAATCAAACTCTAAGACTACAGTAATTTCAACAAAAATTTCAGAAAATCCATTTATAGAAATGAGTTTTAATTTAAAAACTTCTCTGGAAGATGAAACAAGAACAACCTACAAAATTTTTGAAAAAAATATTTGAGTCAGAAATAATGATGGAACAGGAAAAGTGACACATACTTCCAGATATTAAGTACTTTTAAAAGACTACTACCACAAAAAAGGCAGAGATGGAAAAAATTGTACAAAGTAAAAAGTCCAGATAAGTCCAAGCAGCTATAAAAATACAGCATAATATTAAAAGCATCATTTGAAACAGATGAAGCAAAACCAGATTATTCACTAAATGGCGTGGACCTGGAAAACATTAAATTCGTCTCTTAATCTATAAACCAAAATAAATACCAAATAAATTAAATATTTAAGTAATGTAAACACTGTAGAAAGAAATACGAATATTTATCTACTCTCAAAGATAATTCTTTTGTAACCATATTGCCAAAAAACCACGAACCGAAATCATGCTTCTTTGTAAAATATTCCAAAACTTCTGTACATCACAAAAAAATGATCAAGTTGTATTGCAGAAAACAACACAACAATTGTAAGGCAATTTGCCTCCAATTAAAAAGTAAATTTAAAAAAATGAGTATAAAAATTTTAAAAACTATGAACCATTAAGTGATAAAAGGTAGGGAAAAGTGCAGTTAATATGAAAACAAGTACAAATTTTACGTCCCCAATTTTATTACTTTCATTTTTTCATATGCTAGTAATTCATTCAAAGTTAAAAATAATATTAAATGTAATGTGGTACTCTGTACTTGGACACTAGAAGAGGAAAAAACATTAGTAGAAAAACTGGCAGAAACCAATAATTTGTAGCAAATAGTACTGTACCAATGCTGGTTTCTTTCATTTTATTATTTTTTTAAAAATTTGAGATATAATTAACATATATACTATTAGGCTCTTCATTTTAACAGAGGTGCCATAGTTATATGAAATGGTAACATTAGGGAAAACTGTATACAGGAACTTTCTGTACTATATAACTTTTCTGTAAATTTAAATTTATTCCAAAATAGAAAGTTTATTTAAAAAAACTTTAAAAAAATAAACTTTTTTATTTTAAAAAAGAAAGCACTAAGTGATAAAACATTATACAATGAAAATCCTAGCTCTCAAGATTCACTTTAATGAATTGATAATGCTGATGAATCAATTAGAAAAATAGAAAAAACAAAAATCTAGCAAAAGTTGTTAATAGGCAATTCACTCATCATCAGTGAATACATGCAGAATGTTAAGCTCAGCAATAACTATGAAAAAGAAAAGCTGAACCAACAATGAGAAACTATCACATATTAGACTGGCAAATATTTTTTTAAAAATATAATACACAGAGTTAGTAAAGATAAGAGAACATTCCCCATGCTTTGCATAGGAATGGCAGTTAGTCTAACCTTTCTCAGGACAACTGGGCATTACATATCAAAAACTGGGAAAGTGTATGTATACATGTGACTCCTAACTTGACACACAGGAATTAATCAATTAATTCTTAGCAAATAATCACAGGTGTGTGTAAAATGTACCTACATGAATAATCCAAGTACTACTTAAAACTACAAAACAAAACAAAGCAAAAGTAATTTATATCCCAACATTGAAAAATTTGTTAACAAATTTATGGTAGTGCTGTAGAGTGGAATATTACATAGTCATTCAAAATGATATTACAAAAAATATTGAATGGTATGGAAAATGATTTTATAAACAATAAAAAATGTTATATAGTATAAAAGTAGTAATATATTTTAATGACCATAGTACAATGCATATCCATGTATATAAGCAGAAGATGAAGTATAGATATACAAAAAAATTAACTATCATTATCAATGGGCTTTTCAGAGCTTCTGAGTATGCTCCAAATTTCCTAAAATCAGTATTTTAATATAAATTACACTTTATGACTTTGATAATATCCAAGATCTAAAAATAACTAAATAATACCAAATGAACCATTGGTTTTATGTGGATGTATACACATCCTATGGAGAAGGAAATGGCAACCCACTCCAGTATTCTTGCCTGGAAAGTCCCATTGACGGAGAAGCCTAGTAGGCTACAGTCCATGGGGTCCCAGAGTGTTGGACACGACTGAGCGACTTCACTTTCACTTTTCCTTTCACTTTCATACACATTCTAAGTTACGTAACTGAGAGTCCTGTCTACCTACTGTGATTTTAGTAGTCTTGGCAAAGCTGCAGTTAACCAAAAAATATATCTTAGCCTATCTGTGTCTGTCGATACAATTCAACTGTAAGACTGATTTTTTCCTCAATTTTGAATAACTTCAGACTTTCAAAAAAGTTACAAAATTATTCAGAGATCTATATACTTCTAACCTCATTTTTCCTAATGCTAACATCTTATATAAGATAGTAAGATTATCAACACAAAGTAATTAATATTGTCTAACACTGTTAATTAAAATAAATAGTAGGAGTTTAGTAACTTTAGCTAAACCAGAATTATTAACACCAATGTTCTGGAAAAAGACACTGAAAACACTGATATTAATTATAGTCTGAACAAAAAAAAGAGAGATAATAAAGTCAATTAGAACAAAAAATATATACATTAGGAAACCAAGATGATAAAGCCTGCCTTTGCTTACTTGAAGATTTTATGCTGCATACCTACTAGAGCCAAAAATAGGGGAAAATTTCAAATGGTGATGATGATGATAACTATTATTTATTTTATACAATGCGAGTTTAAAACAGTAATTCATATTGAAAGTAAAATAATGTTTAGGTCAATTAAAGCAAACTGAATATAATATTTCTTTTGTGCTACCAACCTTAAACATGATAATACTTTCTACAATAATGCTTCTACTGTGAGCATAATTCAAGGCAACATCAATATGTCTAAATATATAAATTCCAAGAAGAGGGTTTCCTAGTATTCTCAACGAAGATGCTTTGGTACTTAGTCCACTGTGATATATCTTAGTCACATCCTTCTGAGGAAGTGCTAAAAAGCAGAAATGTTCTTCAAGTTCTCTGCCATGCCTTCCACTCTCACGCATCTCTGACCTAAAGCAAAACAGTGAATAGTTAAATGAGAACATCAACAGAATTTTCAAAGAAGACAAATACTTCAGGCTTGCTAAAGATAGGGAGTCTATACTCCTGAAACCTCACCTACATCCCACAAGAACCACTGAAACACCGGGGTATTAGGAAAGGAGTCCTACATGGCTTGCTCAGCACCAGTAACAGCAGCAGCTGCGACACCACGCGATACAAGCGTGGTTCAGTCACTACGAAAGAGCTGATTCCAAAGCACCATCATCAACGGAGAAGCTACAGAATCTAGAAAGCAATGTGTATACCAATCAAAGGAAAACTCGTGAACACCACATACTACTAATATTTACTATTTCCTGAGATGTCACTCACAAGTATTAATATTTATATGCAAGAATAATTCACCTTTAACGGGAGACAGCCATGGCAACAAAACATACAGCAACAATTACAAGCAAGACGAACCGATGAGATCATGACCACTTCTCTTTTCCCAGAGATGTCAGCCTTAACTTTCAGCTCCACTGTTGTCATTTCCTGCTCCTGTTTTCACCCTGATGTCAGGCTCTATAAACCACTAAGATCTCTATGTTTGATTGTTAAGGTATATTCTTAACAGTCAGAAGAATTAAAATACTTCTTTCTGTTTTCCTAATTTCTCTACTGGTTTTTCTTAGGATCTAAGTTCAGTTCAGTCAATCAGTTGTGTATGACTCTTTGCAATTCCATGGACTGCAGCACTCCAGGCTTCCCTGGCCATCACCAACTCCTGGAGCTTGCTCAAACTCATGTCCAATGAGTCGGTGATGGCATCCAACCATCTCATCCTCTGTCATTCCCTTCTCCTCCCACCTTCAATCTTTCCCAGCCTCAGGGTCTTTCCCAAACAGTTTTTTGCATCTGGTGGCCAAAGCACTGGAGCTTCAGCTTCAGAATCAGTCCTTCCAATGAACATTCAGAACTGATTTCCTTTAGGATTGACTGATTTGCTCTCCTTGCAGTTCAAGGGACTCTCAAGAGTCTTCTCCAACACCAAAGGTCAAAGGCATGAATTCTTCGGCCCTCAGCTTTCTTTATAATCCAACTCTCACATCCATACATGACTACTGGAAAAACCATAGCTTTGACTAGACAGACCTTTGTTGGCAAAGTAATGTCTCTGCTTTTTAATATGCTGTCTAGGTTGGTCATAGCTTTTCACCAAGGAGCAAGCGTCTTTTAATTTCATGGCAGCAGTCACCATCTGCAGTGATTTTGGACCCCCCAAAATAAAATCTCTCACTGTTTCGATTGTTTCCCCATCTATTTGCAAAGAAGTGATGGGACCGGATGCCATGATCTTAGTTTTTCTGAATGTTGGGTTTTAAGCCAGCTTTTTCACCCCCCCTTTGCACTTTCATCAAGAGGTTCTTTAGTAGTTCTTCGCTTTCTGCCATATAGGTGGTGTCATCTGTGTATCTGAGGTTATTGATATTTCTCCCGGCAATCTTAATTCCAGCTTGTACTTCATCCAGTCTGGCATTTCTCATGATGTACTCTGTATATAAGTTAAATAAGCAGGATGACAATATACAGCCTTGACATACTCCTTTCCCAATTTGGAACCAGTCTGTTGTTGCATGTCCATTTCTAACTATTGCTTCTTGACCTGAATATAGATTTCTCAGGACACAGGTAAGGTAGACTGGTATTCCCATCTCTCTAAGCACTTTCCAGTTTGTTGTGATCCACCTGGAATGTTAGGTCCATGAATCAAGGTGAATTGGAAGTAGTCAAACAGAAGATGTCAAGAGTGTACATCAACATTTTAGGAAACAGTGAACTAAAATGGACTGGAATGGGCGAACTTAATTCAGATGACCATTATATTTAATACTGTGGGCAAGAATCCCTTAGAAGAAATGGAATAGCCCTCAGTCAACAAGAGTCTGAAATGCAGTACTTGGGTGCAATCTCAAAAACAACAGAATGATCTCTGTTCATTTCCAAGGCAAACCATTCAATATCATAATAATCCAAGTCTAGACCCCAACCAGTAATGTGGAAGAAGCTGAGGTTGAATGATTCTATGAAGACCTACAAAATCTTCTAGAACTAACACCCAAAAAAAGATGTCCTTTTCATCATAGGGGACTGGAACCCAAAAGTACGAAGTCAAGAGATATCTGGAGTAACAGGCAAATTTGGCCTTGGAGTACAAAATGAAGGACAAAGGCTAACAGAGCTTTGCCAACAGAAAACACTGGTCATAGCAAACACCCTCTTCCAACAACACAAGAGAAGACTCCACACATGGACATCACCAGATGGTCAACACCAAAATCAGACTGATTATATTCTTTACAGCCAAAGATGGAGAAGCTTTATACAGGTAGCAAAAGCAAGACCAAGAGCTGATTGGGCTCAGATCATGAGCTCCTTAAAGCAAAATTCAGACTTAAATTGAAGAAAGTAAGGAAAACCACTAGACCATTCAGGTAGGACCTAAATCAAATCCCTTATGATTATTCAGTAGAAGTGACAAATAGATTCAAAGAATTAGATCTGATAAAGTGCCTGAAGAACTATGGACAGAGATTCATGACCTTGTATAAGAGGCAGTGATCAAGACCAAAAAGGCAAAATGGCTGTCTGAGGAGGCCTTAAAAATAGCTGTGAAAAGAGAAGGGAAAGGCAAAGGAGAAAAGGAAGATATACCCATTTGAATGCAGAATTCCAAAGAATAGTAAGGAGAGATAAGAAAGCCTTCCTCAGTGAGCAATGCAAAGAAATAGAGGAAAACAACAGAATGGGAAAGACTAGAGATCTCTTCAAGAAAATTATAGAGATACCAAGGGAACATTTCATGCAAACATGGGCAGAGTAAAGGACAGAAACAGTATGCACATAACAGAAGCAGAAGATATTAAGAAGAGGTGCCAAGAATACACAGAAGAACTATACAAAATACATCTCCATGACCCAGATAACCACAATGGTGTGATCACTCACCTAGAGTCACACATCCTGGAGTGCAAAGTCAAGTGGGCCTTAGGATGCATCACTATGAACAAAGCTAGTGGAGGTGATGGAATTCCAGTTGAGCTATTTCAAATCCTAAATGATGATGCTGTGAAAGCGCTGTACTCAATATGCCAGCAAATTTGGAAAACTCAGCAGTGGCCACAGGACTGGAAAAGGTCAGTTTTCATTCCAATCTCAAAGAAAGGCAATGCTAAAGAATGTTCAAACTACTGCACAATTGTACTCATCTCACATGCTAGCAAACTAATGTTCAAAATTCTCCCAGTAAGGCATCAACAGTACATGAACCAACAACTTCCAGATGTTCAAGCTGGTTTTAGAAAAGGCAGAGGAACCAGAGATCAAATTGCCAACATCTGTTGGATCATTGAAAAAGGGAGTTCCAGAAAAACATCTGCTTCTGCTTTACTGATTATGCTAAAGCCTTGACTGTGTAGATCACAACAAACTGTGGGAAATTCTTAAAGGGATGGGAATACCAGACCACCCTACCTGCCTCCTGAGAAATCTGTATGCAAGTCAAAAAACAACAGTTAAAACTAGACATGCAACAACGGACTGGTTCCAAATAGGAAAGGAGTACGTCAAGGCTGTATACTGTCACCTTGCTTATTTAACTAACATGCATCGTACATCACGAGAAATGCCAGACTGGATGAAGCACATGATGGAATCAAGATTTCCGGGAGAAATATCAATAACCTCAGCTATGCAGATGACACCACCCTTATGGCAGAAAACAAAGAAGAACTAAAGAGCCTCTGATGAAAGTGAAGAGGAGAGTGAAAAATCTGCCTTAAGACTCAATATTCAACAAACAAAGATCATGGCATCCAGTCCCATCACTTCATGGCAAATAGATGGGGAAACAGTGGAAATAGTGACAGACTTTATTTTCTTAGGCTCCAAAATCACTGCAGATGGTGACTGCAGCCATGAAATTAAAAGACAGTTGCTCTTTGGAAAAAAAGTTGTGACCAACCTAGACAGCATATTAAAAAGCAGAGACATTACTTTGCTGACAAAGGTCCATCTAGTCAGTTATGGTTTTTCCAGTAGTCATGTATGGATGTGAGAGTTGGACCATAAAGAAAGCTGAGTGTCGAAAAATTGATGCTTTTGAACTGTGGTGTTGGAGAAGACTCTTGAGAAGATCTCCTTTGACAGCAAGGAGATCAAACCAGTCAATCCTAAAGGAGATCAGTCCTGAATATTTATTGGTAGGACTGATGCTGAAGATCAAGCTCCAATACTTTGGTCACCTATGCAAAGAGCTGACTCTTTGGAAAAGACCCTGATGCTGGGCAAGATTGAAGGTGGGAGGAGCAGGGGACGACAGAGGATGAGATGGTTGGATGGCATCACCGACTCAATGGATGTGAGTTTGAGCAAAGCTCTGGGAGTTGCTGATAGACAGGGAGGCTTGGCATGCTGCAGTCCATGGGTTGCAAAGAGTCGGACACAACTGGGCAACTGAACTGAACTGAAGATACTGGCAAAGCCAGGGCATATACTCATGTTAGGAACGAGAAGAAAGGCAGGGACTACTCAGCAGCCACACAGCAGGAGACTGCCTTTCCCAGTGACCTGGTCTACAAATGACCCTGACAACTTCCAGCAGCAAAGAAACCAAAGCCAGCACAGATTTGCCTGGACCCCTGCAAATTTCACTAGGTTCTCTCCACAAGTATCCTCACTTGCTGATGCCTGTCTCCTGAGTCCCTCCCCACCGTCTCCTCTCTTGGATCCCCGACCAGCTCGGTCACCACACAGGTACCTGCACCTGGCCTGCATGGCCGAGAGTGTGCATACCAAGCCGCCTGGGCCACTACTGCTGCTTGCTGTGGTCTTCTCCCTCGTTTACGACGATGAGGTGCCGCTGAGAACCCCAACAGTCCTTGGAGCCTCTGCAGACACCTGGCAGTGCTTTCCAAAGGTCACACAATTGTCCATGTTGTGGATCCCAATGGCTTGATCCAATGAGTTACAGCACAATCCCCGAGACATGGAGCCACACACGCCCCTTCCCTGGGAACCCACCATTAACCCAGTGTCACAGCAATCTTCAGCATGTCCCCACCCGCAGGGGAAGGCCTTTTCTTAGCAAAGTCAGTCCATAGAGTCTTTTCTTCAGCATGCAGACACCTAAGCAAGGCTACAGGACTGTAAGAGTCAGGGAAATAAGACTCCACCAAAGGAATACAGTAAACCTCCAGGAATTGATCCTCCCAAAATGGACACAGAGGATTAACCCCTTTTCCCAGGGTGTCACTGGCGCAAACTGATTTCGTCTTACTTCATCTTGGAGCCAAGCATTGACAGAGTAAATGGAATTAAGCATGGATGGTTCCGTCTACTCATGTGGGGTGGAATGTAAACTGAGATGCTGAGTGTAAGTTTAACCTCAGTCAAGATAGGTGCTGACGATCTTTAAAATGATACCCTTTCACATGAATTTCAGATGTTTAAAGTCCAGTTATATTAAAACAAAAAAAAGGTCAAACTGATACAAATAGGGCAATATATTTAAGAAGAACTGAATTCAATTCTCTCTTATCCACTGAGACCAGCTAAAGTTCTTAACTCTTCAAAACACCTCTCAAGACTCTTAGGAAGAATGCTCAATCCCACATCTATGCACCTACATCTTTATTATAACATAAGATTTGACATTTTAGCTGTATGTCTTCTCCACTGGAATATAAACTCTCTAAGGTTGAGGACAAAACATTCATTTTTCTCTGAGGGTGATAAAGAACTGACTCATTTGAAAAGACCCTGATGCTGGGAAAGATTTAAGGCAGGAGGAGAAGGGGACAACAGAGGATGAGATGGTTGGATGGCATCACGGACTCAATGGACATGAGTTTGAGTAAGCTCTGGGAGTTGGTGATGGACAGGGAGGCCTGGCATGCTGCAGTCCATGGGGTGGGCAAAGAGTCATACACAACTGAGCAACTGAACTGAACTGAACTGAATAAAATACATTTTCTGACACAGTAGGCACTGAAATGCTCAATGAGTGACTGAATACACATATATTTAGATGATTAATGTGTTTCTGCTTATTTCACACTTAAGAAGTAGTAGATGCAATGTGGATGAGAAATGGAGACTGGTGCATTTTTGGAACTACTTGCTTTTGATGAGACCAGAGATTATACACTCCTCTAAGGGGAACAACAAAAAGAAAAGCTAGAGGCAGTCAATGTTATTAACACTTTCTCTTTTTATCTGTCTATCCTATTTTTCTCTTCTACTAACCATTCTGGTATTTTTTTTTTAACCTATGCCTTAAGGCTACTTAAGGGTATCTTCTAGCATCACTCATTTAAAATCATGAAATGTAGCTTAATTTAACAATTAATTGCCCACTATGTTGCCAGACTCAGTTCCACACTATGGACAGAAAAACAAGTAAGATAAAACTCATAATATAGTAAGGAAACAAGACAAAACCAATATAAAATGAGTATCAAATACTATGGGATATAAATCAGTTTGTCTAATTGAGCAAATACATAAATCCTACACCTATTAGTCATTTAAAATGTTCTGTTAGGTCTTGTATTGTTGGGGAGTTGTTTTAACTCTCTTGTAATGTTAACAGGGAGAAATAAATGGTTGAAATGAAGTATTGGCATTGTGAAAAAGGACACAAATTAAAATGCCTAATCTAACTCAAATCAAGGAACAATGCAGGAATTAATTTTTGATCAAACCATTATTTCAATCTGGAGGGGGCAGCATATAGTCAGCCCATTCTACTTTTGCTCAAAACTGTGGTTTTTAGGAAAGACTATGCCACCAACTAATCCTGCCATTCCTACCCATTCTCCCAAACTAACATCAAATAGGGTAGCATGTTTGAGTCAAGAGAAACTGACTCTAAAACAAAAAAAAGAGACCAAACACATTCCGAAACGAGTTCTCAATGTGAGTCCATCAAGCTACAGTTAGGTTCACACTTAACATGCAAAATGGTGAAGGAAGCAAGTTCAAAAAATGAAAATGCTGAACCGTGTTCAGAATAAGATCTGTACCTATAAATACAAAATGTTTACAATGAGAACTCCCCATGTGCTGTTATTTTTTCTTATCAAAATTACCTAATGGAATGTGTCTTTCCTCAAAACAGAAGGGGTACTTTTTTTCTTTTGGTCATGTTCTGCGGCATGTGGGGTCTAGTTCCCCGACCAGGGATTGAATCAGTGCCCCCTGCACTGGGAGCATGGAGTCTTAACCACTGAACTGCCAGAGAAGTTGCAGAATGGGTCCTTTTTAAAAGTTAAGTGTCAGAAATTGTGGTTCTAGTGGAATAGTTGGAAACAGCCAGATAAAACTGTGACAGATTAAAACATCAACTCGGTCTCTGAAGGACTGAATCAAGAAAAAAGGTACATTCTAAATACTTTAATGCTGTTTTATATTGTGCATGAGGCACAAGACCATCTACAAATTAGCTATTTAATTAATGTGCTGATGTTATGTTTCCGAAAAATTTACAAAGATTAAAAAGTTAGAAGGGTGTGTTTGAAACCTGGCTACAATAATGTGTAAAACTTACTAATCAAATCTCATATGTACCTCTTTACTGTTACAAAAGGCTCTGAGATGGCAAGAAGATAATGAATAAAACACTTCTGGACTTATTTTCTTGGTAACACTTACAAAATATCAAATGGTAGAAATAAAAAATTCGTATAAACACCTCACATGAAAAGCAAACAAAATCTCAAACTTCTTTAGGTCACAGTAACTTACCTCTTAGAAGTAAATTTTTTTTCCAGACCCTCATTGTGAATCACTTTTGTATCCCCAAACTGCCATGAAGACTGTAGGTCACGGCTTACATCAAGCCGGCACTCGTTGAGAGTATCATGTATGAAACTATACTCTCTAGTATTGGTGTAACAAGGTGACAAGTAAACTAAAAATAAAGAAAAGAGTAAGTGGTTATTTGTGTTTAAAATGACATCATTGTAGGATAGTTAGGGTCTTTGGGAAGGTCATGTACACACTGCTATATTTAAAATGGATAACCAACAAAGACCTATTGGATAGTACATCAAACTCTGCTCAATGTTATGTGCTAGCCTGGATGGAAGAGGGGTTGTGGGGGTGAATGGATACATGTATATGTATGGCTGAGTCCCTTCATTGTTCACCTGAAACTACAACATTGTTAATCGGCTATACCACAAAACAAAATGTTTTTGGTGTTAAAAAAATAAAATAAAATAACATCATTGCACATCTGCACAATGACAACTATAGATATGTATAAGACACAAAATAACCAAGTACTTGGAAGTTTCATTAACATCTGGAGGCATTTATTTATATTTAAGACTTTATAACAGTAATACAGATTTCCTATACCTGGTATAAACAAAAATAGGAAACTTGTCTTATTCCTCTTACCTACTGGGAGTTCTTAAAAGCTGACACAGATATACTAGATAGTATATAGGTGTCTCATCTTCAACTTAAGATGTACAGGCTCTACGACATGCATTGTTACACAAACCTTGTAGCTCATGTTAGGTTATGAACATTTGTTGCATTTCCCCCAAATAAGGCAACCTATATACTAGTGAACTATTTGGTTATTCTGACTTGCAATAATACCAGAACATCTTTGTAAACTCTTGACTGATATGGTGGCATGAGTAAGAAGTACAGTCTTTCAGAGGACAGTGAGCAATGTTTTAAGCATTGTTATATTAAGTAGATGCATTAAAGAATCAAAACCCTTAAGGAAGAGGACCCAGAGGAAATTGGAGAATACAGTTGATTCTTGTTATTTGTGGAAGTTACAGTATATTAAAAGTTGCTGCCAACCTTGAATCATTGAATACTGAACTATTAATATTAATCTTAGTAGAAATTCAGTGTTATGTTCCTGTGGGCCTCTGGTGACATTTTTGACAATTGGAATGCCATGTGCAGTAAGCTTGCCTGCCAACATCTCTGTAAAATGAGCCAGTCTCATCCGGGTTGGAAACTTGCCACATAACCTTTTCCTGTATAACACTTAGCAGGTGTCTCTGAAATTCTTCCCCAGTCTCCTGTTCTGCAGAACCTGCCTGCATCCATTATTACCTGAAACGTGGGAGCCAGCAAGCTCCAGCAAAGAAGGGCTTAACATTCTCCTGACCCTTGGTACCATGATCAAATGTCTCTTTGGCTTTTCACCTTCCAAAAATGCTGCCCGCAAGCTTTTTACTGGTGGTCATCTCATGAATCTACAAAAGTATATTCCATTCTCTCCACAGGAAAGGTACTCAAATGTTCCTTCAACCCTTTCTGGAGAGGCTTGATGTACAAGTTGGTGAAGTTTGCTTTCCTTTTTCTGAATGTGCCATATTTTTAGCCAATAGTCCTGTAACTTTATGTTATAGGGTAGCTTATGTAATATGCATTTTCTCTGTAAGGCCCATCGTAGACCTCTTGAGCTTAGGAACACTAGACAGCATTTCAGCATTACATGGTGGAGATCATTTGAAATGGTGACATCACCAATAAAATGGAAAGAACACAGCACTAAACAGGTGATGAAATGGACACTTAATTATATGACAGCTGGAATAAGATGCAGCGCACTGTCTCATCTGGATACAAGTGCATCAAGTGACTCAAATTTTTCACCATTCTGCATATGCCTGCAAATGACTGAAAGTGCTGCTGCTGAGTGCTGGTGCTGGGGTTACAAACACGTTTCAGCAAGTAGGAGAATTTGAAAATACGGCAAGTATGGAACCTGTGAATGATGAGGATCAGTGATATATATAAGTTAAGGCAATTTCCATATACATGAATCTAACATAAACAATGGTCCTCTGTATTTAACAATCAACAGAATAAGACAGAGGCGAAACTAATGCAAAATACTATAAACCTCTGTTTTTCAAAAACAACTTATTCTTCACCTCCTTTCCATTTAATTTTCACTTTAATATTTGTAAAAATTTGTTACAAAATTTGGTCATTTCATAAGATATATGATTTTGTGCATGTGTGCTTGTGTTTAACTTATGTTGAAGTGAATACAGGTCATATGACATTTTTATAGAGGCTCTGTATATATACCCTTAGCTCAAACTCCCCTGTGTAAACACTTCACATAACTATAATAAAATATGAAAACCAGAAAAATGACATGGGTATAATACACACACCTCATTACAATTTTACTAGTTTTATGTGCAGTTATGTGTGTGGGGGTAGTTCTATGCAATTTTATCACACGTGTAGATCCATGTAACAATCACTATAATCAAGATACACAACTGTTCCATAACCACAAAGATCATTCTTATTCTACTCCTTTACATATAGTCATACTGATAACCCATTCCTCTTCTCTGCCTCTAAATCCTAGAACTACCAATTTGTTCTCCATCTCTATACTTTCATCATTTCAAGAATGTTTTGTAAATGGAACTTTATAAAGTTGTATTATATTTATAGTTAATATTTACAACCTATGAGACTAGCTTTTGAGTCAAGATATTGCTTTTGAGATTCAATCAAGCTGCTGATACAGTAAATTTTTTTTTTTTTAACTTGCTAAGTAACCCACGGGATGGTTGCATCATACTTTAACCATTTACTCAATGGAAATCAGAGTGATTAACAATTTTTAGCTACTGCAAATAAAGCTGCTATAAACATTTCCATATAGGTTTTAGTGTGGACGTAAGCATCCATTTCTCTGGGATAAATGTCCCAAAGTACAACTGCAGGGTCATATGGTAGTTGCATGTTTAGTTTTTCAAGAAACCATCAAACGTCTTCAAAAAGTGGCTGAATTATCTTACGCTTCCATTGGCTGCATTGACTGATCTGGCTTCCCCATATTCTTCCTAGTTTTCGGCATTGCTATTCTTATTTCAGCTGTTTCAACAAGCATAAAGGGACCCCCTACTGGGGTTTTCATTAGCATTTTGTTAATGGCTAAGATACTGAATATCATTTTCGTGCTTACTTGCCAATCTATACATTCTCTTTAGTGAAATGACTATTCATGTCTTTTTCCTGTTTTCTGGTTGATTCCACTTTATGATTCATCTAGCCCAACATTTTGTATTATATATTCTGCATATAAGTTAAACAGGGTGAATATATACAGCATTGACCTCCTCCTTTCCCAATTCTGAACTAGTCTGTTGTTCCATGTCCAGTTCTAACTGTTGTTTCTTGACCTGCATACAGGCTTCTCAGGAGGCGGGCAAGGTGGTCTAGTATTCTCAACTTTTAAGAATTTTGCAGTTTGTTGTGATCCACGCAGTCAAAGGCTTTAGTGTAGTCAAAGCAGATGTTTTTCTGGAATTCTCTTGCTTTTTCAATGATCCAATGGATGCTGGCAATTTGAGCTCTGGTTCCTCTGCTGCTTCTAAATCCAGTTTGTATATCTGGAAGTACTTGGTCACATACTATTGAAGCCTATCTTGAAGGGTTTTGAGCATTACCTTGCTAACATGTGAAATGAACTCAACTGTGTGGCAGTTTGAACATTCTTTGGCATTGTCCTTCTTTGGGACCTGAGTGAAAACTGACCTTTTCCAGTCCTGTGGCCACTGCTCAGTTTTCCAAATTTGCTGGTGTACCAAGTACAGCACATTCACAGCATCATCTTTTAAGATTTGAAATAGCTCAGTTGTGATTTCATCACCTCCACTAAGTTTGTCCTAAGGCCTACTTGATTTCACACTCCAGGATGTCTGGCTCTAGGTGAGTGGTTATCTGGGTCACTAAAACCTGTTTTGCAGGTTCTATGTATTCTTGCCACCTCTTCTTAATGTCTTCTGCTTCTGTTAGGTCCATACAATTTCTGTCCTTTATTGTGCCCATCTTTGCATGAAATGTTCCCTTGGTATCTAATTTTCTTGAAGAGATCTCTAGTCTTTCCCATTCTATTGTTTTTCTCTATTTCTTTGCATTGTTCACTTAAGAAGGCTTTCTTATCTCTCCTTGCTGTTCTTTGGAACTCTGCATTCATATGGGTATATCTTCCCTTTTCTCCTTTGCCTTTTGCTTCTCTTCTTTCCTCAGCTATCTGTAAAGCCTCCTCAAACAACCATTTTGCCTTCTTGCATTTCTTTTTCTTGGGGATGGCTTTGGTCACCACCTCCTGTACAATGCTATGAACCTCCATCCATAGTTCTTCAGGCACTCTATCAGACCTAATCCCTTGAATCTATTTGTCATTTCCACTGTATAATTATAAGGGATTTGATTGAGGTCATACCTGAATGGTCTAGTGGTTTTCTCTACTTTCTTTAAGTCTGAATTTTCCAATAAGGAGCTCATGATCTGAAGTTACAATCAGCTTCAGATGTGGTTTTTTTTTTGCTAACTGTATAGAGCCTCTCCACCTTCAGCTGCAATGAATATAACCAATCTGATTTCATTATTGATTATCTGGTGATGTCCATGTGTAGAGTCATCTGTTGTGTTGTTGGAAGGGGGTGTTTGCTATGACCTGTGTATTTTCTTGGCAAAACTCAATTAGCCTGTGCTCTGCTTCATTTTGTACTCCAAGGTCAAATTTGTCTGTTACTCCAGGTATGGCTTTCTACTTCAACATTTTAATCCCATATTGATGAAAAGAACATCTCCTTGTGTGTGTGTGTGTGTGTGTGTGTTAGTTCTAGAAGGTCTTAAAGGTCTTCATAGAACTGTTCGACTTGAGCTTCTTCAGCATTAATGGTTGGGGCACTGTGGTGCTGAATGTGGATTACTGTGATGTTGAATGGTTTGCCTTTGAAACGAACAGAGATCACTGTGTCGTTTTTGAGACTGCACTCAAGGGCTGCATTTTGGACTCTACTGTTACTATGAGGGCTACTCCATTTCTTCTCAGGTATTCTTGCCCACAGTAGTAGATATAATGGTCATCTGAATTAAATTTGCTCATTCCCATCC